TGTTTGGCTCCACTTTGGTTTCTGTTGCTGCAGGATTCTTGGGAGGAGCGATGCTTTGGAACGTCGGCAACCCGACAGGCTTCTAAAAGACAAAAGTGAGAAGCAAAGGTAAAAAATGAAGTGATTTAAGCTTCAGCTCTTTGTCCTCAACGGCAAGAGATGCAAAACAAGCCAGAAACGTACTGTACCTGCTCACTGGTGGTGGGACCGAACACTCGATGGGTTTTGTCCAAGTTGGCGCCCATTTGTAGAGACAGGAGTTTATTATCAACCACTGTAGAAAGAAAGAAGATGGCTGACTGTTAAATGAAGCTTTACTTTTTTCCGAGTGTTATTTCTTATGAACTGTAGTTGCAGCATACGTGGTCTGTTTGGCTCCACTTTGATTTCCGTTGCTGCAGGAATCAGTGGGGTGGTGACGGTCTGTGAGGGTGGCATCGAGACTGCCTGTGAGAGGAAAATGCAACAAAAAATGATGATTCTCAACAGCACAGTGCATGTGAGCAAAGTGATCTAAGCTCAAACGGTTTGTTCTCAACAGCAAGAGATTCAAAACAAGCTAGAAGTCTGCTGTACCTGTGCACTGGTGGCGAAACCGAACGCTGCATAAGTTTGACCAAAGTTGGCGCCCATTTCTCGAGAATGCTGTTTATTATCGACCCCTGTAGGGAGAAAGAAGGATGGTTTACTGTTAAATGAAGCTGTTTTTCTGAGTGGTATTGCTGAATGAACTGTATGTATAATGCATACATGATTTGAATAGCCCCAGTACTGCAGCTTGTGTGCCTGAAGGATCCATTTGGGTGAAGACTTTTGTAGACAGGAAGAGATTCTGTCACAGAGAGGTGGAAGGTCATGATAGTTCCAAGTGATTTTTTTTTTTTTTTTTTAAGTCTGACATGCTAGAATCTTTATTTTTGCATGACTATACCTCCTCATCTTGATCGGATTCCTCCGACTGACTCCTCCACATGTACTGCTCCTTCTCAGGGATCTTTTCCTTCGGGGGGAATAAATCCTCTCTCTGGTGGTTTCTCAGGCCCTGGAAGCTCACGTCTGGGTCTTTAGTGACTGTTTGAGACATGACGGGAGAATTCATGGAACTTTTTGGGATGAAATGTTCACATTGTGTAGGAACAGTTGCCGTTCCTCAGTGTAAATGCTGTCCTTGAAAGTAAAAACAGCTTGCATTAAATCTAAAGGCTTCATTTTGTAACTTCAGGAAATAGTCAATCAATTTTCAAGCATATTTTGCTTATTTTGTGGCATTTAGTCGTGATTGAAGAGGCCCCGCTGTCTGTGAAATCAGCTCTAACCTTAACTACTGTGTGTCTCAGTGTAATGCCATGAAACGGAAGGCAAAACCTTAAAAAACACACGACTGCACCAGAAGCAATGCACTATTAATACACAGCCCCATGAGATAATGGGATTGGGAACCAATTTCTTAACGTCTAAAAAAAGGCCTGTTTTTTGTGTGATTTAAATGGTTTTTCAGTTTTTGGTTAATTCACTGGACTCAAACTGCTCGAATTTCTTTAAAAACTATAAAATGGGTGTGTTCTAAAACTTGTTGCGGACATTTTGCAGCACACTGGACCAGAGGGGTCAGCTGTTCACCACTCACCAGGCTTCCTCGTGCTGAAGGTATCAGGGACAGGGTCTTCCAGTGCGATTGGAGATTCAGTGAAGGTATATTTGGGAATGTATTCTAATTCCCTTTTCTTCGGAGTGCATCCCATCATCCCCTGATGAGTTCTCAGGCCGTGGTAGGTTGTAACTTTGGTCCAGCCACAGTGGCAAACCTGGAGGCTCCTTTCGGACATGTCGGGTATCTCTACAACACAGATACATACATACAACATAAAATATTCAGCAACAGAAAACAACCATCACATGAGCGTTCAGTACTGGATGTAGTCATAATTCCATCCTGAACAGAGGCTATGATAATAAACGGCCAGCACTGTGTTATCGAATATCTAAATAATAAAGTAAATACATTTTTGGCTAAATAAGCAGCCAAACACATTCACTGAAACATGTATATCATCTCTTTTGCACAAGTTCTGTAAATGTGTTGCTGTGTTTTTCATTGTTTTGTCCAGTTCATCCCAAAGCAGCAAGATGAGGTTTAAGTGGAGCCTGTGCTGCTCCTCTGTAGTCTGAAACCTACCATCTAGTTCTGGACTGTTGATATCTCGTTGTCGAACAAACCCCTGACCAACCAGTCTGACTTCCTTTGTTACTTTTTCTCGCTGTCCTGATACCTGTACTACTTCTTGCAGTACAAAATTGCCGCCTATTGAACAAATGTTGGGGGGAATTGTTGGCATTAACTTTTCTAAGGCTTCATTTTGTAACTTCAGCAAAAAGTTAATCAATTTTCAACATGTTTTGCTTATTGTGTGGCACTGGCAACACCAACAATGCAGCACACTGAGTTCCTCAGGGTCAGCTGTTCACCACTCACCAGGCTTCCTAGTGCTGAAGATATCAGGGACAGGGTCTTCCAGTGCGATTGGAGGTCCCACGTAGGTAAATGTGGGACTGTAGTTGAATTGTTGGCTCTGTGGGATGTGCAGTCCCTTCGGAGTGCATCCCATCTTCCCCTGATGAGTTCTCAGGCCTTGGTAAGACGTAACTTTGTTCCAGCCACAGTGACAAGTCTGGAGGCTCATGGTGGACGTGTTGAGTATCTCTACAACACAGGACATAAAATGATCAGCAAAACATATATATTTAATATTTCAATAGCTGCCGTGCCAAAAAAATGCAACAGAAAATAACCATCACATAAACGTTCAGTCATTTTCTATTATTAAAACACCTTTTCTGCCTTAATTTGACTTGTGTCGAGTGTTTTTGTGCGTTTGATGAAGGATACTAACATGTGTAACGACAATGAAATAATAATGTAGATTAACATGTGTTCATTTATTTAACATTTTTGTTGGTTGAACTTCTGTATTTATACAAGATTTGTCTCGTTTAACAAAAAGGTCTTTGTGAAATTGCAGAAAAAAGTTCTGTTCATTGTGACTAAATGTGTCTAATAGCGTGTCCATAACTCACAGTGAAAGGTTTAGTTTACATTATAGAGTTTGTGTATTTCAAACACACAGTAAATCATGTTTCTCTGTATCTTCAGGATGCTGGACTGCTGTTTCAGTGTATATCAGAAATAATACATGAGCATT